CCTACATGGCTTCTGCCGAGAAATCTGAGCTTAGTCTTATTGGTTTCCCCTTGTAGGTAACTTTTCATTTTTCCTGTGCTGCTTTCAGGATTCTTTCTTTGCCTTTGGTTTTGGTGAGTTTGATGATGATGTCTTGGTGATTTTCTTTTGGGGTCTATCCTGTTTGGGGTTCTTTGGACTTCTTGAATGGATATATTCTCATCTTTCATCATACCAGAAAAAGTCTCTTCCTACAAGTCTTCAACAATTTACTCTGTGGTTTTTTGTCTCTTCTTGTTCTGGAATTGTGATTACATGTAAGTTATTCCTTTTGATGGTATCCCACATGAACCTTAGGCTTTCTTCATTTTGTTTTGATTTTTTTCTGATTAATCTCTTTCCAAAGAAGTATTGAGGTATTTGTGTTTAATCTCACTAATTCTGTCTTCCATCGATTCAATTCTATTCCTTTGCCTGTTCAATGTGGTTCTATTTCTGAAAATTTAGTATTAATCTTCTGGATTTCTGTCTATAGATTTTGTATCATTTCTAATTTTTCATTTATTATGTCATTTTTTTCTTGTATAGTCTTTTGAAATAGTTCTAGGGTTTTCTCTTGTGTTTTCCTCCATTTTGTCAGTGTTTTCCTTGATCTGTCTCTCAATCCATTGAAGGTATCTAAATATAATTCTTTAGAATTCCTTAACAAGGTAGTTCTAATGCTGGTTCTTCATCATGGATGTGTTTTGGGTTTATATCCTGGACCCTTGTTTCCCCTGGTTTATCTTGCTTCTTTGTGTGGAGTGTGATTCTCTGTTGTCTCCAAGGCATTGTGATGTTTTTGTGTTTATATTTAATTGGTGATCGTATGTTGGAGTGACTTGCCCACAATTTTTGTTTTCTTTGTTTTGTTTGTATGCTATCTATGTAAGCAAGGTACTGTGTTGTGCTCCTCTATTCACTAGTTGGTAGCACTTACACATTCACCATTTGTCTCCTTTCCTGTTGTCAGCCTCCCGTATGTCCCTGCTGCCCTTGGCAGATGGAGCCTATTCTTAGGTCCCTGGAATCTGAATGAGAATGCTGTCACTTTAAAATCCAATATGGCCAATGCTTGTAAACATTCAAAATGGCTGTCTCCTCAGTCACTTTAAATATCCAAAATGGCCACCACTTATAAACCATCAAAATGGCTGCACCGTCTGGACAGCCAAAAGTCCACAGCTCAAGTTGTCTCCCTCCTTGCTATTTCCCTTCCTAGTCATAGAACACCAGTGAAGTTGTCCCTGCAGCCCTTGGCAACCAGGGCTGACCTTTAGGTCAATTCTCAGGTCCCAACACCACTTGGAAATATTCAAGCTGTTGGTCCCATCAGAGTAGCTGACAGTGTGCTGCTCTATCTCTGTACTCACTGTTTTCAATCAGGTTTGTCCACTACTTGGTGCCAAATCCACCTCTGAATATTTCTTTTCAAAGCTCAGGGCTCCAGGGTTATCTTCTATAACTCTGTCAATTGGTTTCCCTTTTCTTTGTTGAAGAGGGTCTGTGTAGCTTGTCTGCCTATTCTGCCATCTTACCAGAAGTCCCTATGATTATTTTGTTATATAATATTCTACTACTTGAAAGTGTTGTATTTATTTAAATGTCTCTTGTTAAAAGAGCTAATTTCTAGTTTTCCACTGTATAAACCACATAGACATTAATAGCTCTGAGCTGGTTTATTTGAAGTAAAATTACTGGATCAGAGTACGCAAATTTAAATTTTTTATACTATTGCCAAATTGTGATCCCAAAAGATGATACTAATTTAAAATTCCAACAATAATGCCCAAGAGTGCATATTTCCCCACACCAACATCAGCACTGGGCAGTTTTGTTACTTTTAATCTTGGTCAATCATGCAAAAAAAAAAAAAAAAAAAAATCTTTGATTATTAGTGAGGCTGAGCACTTTTCATATACTTATTTTGCCAGTTTGGATTTCTTTCACAAACTGACTTTGGTCATTTTCCTGTTGAGCATTTTTTGTTTTTAAACTGATTTGTCAACTCATTCTTTGGCATCTTAATCTTAATGGAAAGACACAGTATATATTCATTTTAGAGCTTTATTTGAATCCATGTTAAAAATGATTCTTTCTATATGCTTACATAAAATCTAGTTCCCTGAGAAAACATCAAGCATTAGCCACAACAAGGTAACTGAACAGCTGCAGGGCACACAAGCCCCACACAACTTCCCAATACAGCTTCAGAAATAGGAAGTGGGTAAAGTGTGATACAAGAAGAGCAAAGAACAATTAAAAACACTCAGATTCTTATTTCTCTCCACTCATTGAGTCTCCAGTCAAATGTTCCAGTATAGACAAGGCTCAACACAGAACAGTTCCTCACAGACTTACTCTATTAGTTTTTATTTCCTTCCAAAACTATTTTAAATGGAAGGATACTTAAACAAAAACCAAACTCACTGCCATTGAATTGATTCCAACTCATAGCAATCCCCACTGGGTTTCCAAGGCTGTAAATCTTTACAGAAGTAGATCACCCTATCTTCCTTTCGTAGAGCAGCTGGTAGGTTTGAACCTGACCTTCTGGTTGTTGTTGTTGTTGTTAGTCACTGTGCTACCAGAGCTTCCCTGACCTTCTGGTTAGCAGCCAAATATCTTATGAACTACACCACCACAGCTCCATAAATGGAAGGATAGACATGCCATATATGCTGATCTGGATGATAGGTCTTTATGTGCTATTAAAAACCACCATTTATATTAAGTAAAACAAAACAAAACACACTGACATTGAGTCAATTTTGACTCACACTGACTCCCATTGATTGGGTTTCCAAGGCTGTAAGTCCTCTCAAAATCAGACCACCTTATTTTTCTTCCTCATAGTGGAAGAAAACCACCAACCTTTTGGTTAGTAGCCAAATGCCTTAGCCACTATACCACTGTTGTTGTTGTTATTTGCCATCGAGTTGGCCCCGACTCATAGCGACCCCTCCTTGAGTTTCCGAGGCAGTATCACTACGGAAGTAGGATTGCCCAACCTTCTTTCGGAGGAGTGGCTGGTGGGTTTGAACCGCCAGCCTTCTGGTTAGCAGTAAGAGTACTCAGTTTTCAGGTTAAGTCGTATTTTAGATTCACAAGGGCAATTTGAATCCAGGAAATAAGACTTCAGCTAATATAGGGAGCTTCCTTTCTCCTCAATTGCAAAACTAAACAGAAATAGGAGCAAAAAAATCTCTATGTGTCTATTTGAGCTTGTATTTGGCAAAGCTTAAATCTCAGCTAGTACGATGAACTATGTCCACGAGGAAATGCACAATGTTTACCACATCTGGAATGAAGTCTGTCAAAAAAAGTAAATCAGAAACAAATCCATTCAATTCTCACTTTTTAAAACAAATCCATCAGTTAACTAATCACAGTCAATAATTACTGAAAGCCAAATATTGGTGCTCTGGCAGATATAAAACAAATATAACCTGCTCTTAAGAAGCTTACAATCTAGCCTGAAAACAAAACAAACATACTTGAAACTTTAAAGGGCCACTCCAACAATACTAAGCACCAGAGTATACATTTTAAGTGGGATAGGATTTCAGAGAAGGGCAAAATCAGTGGCAACGGGCAAGTGGGAGTGTTAAGATAGTTAGAAAGGCTTCATGGAAAAGTGGGATTTGAGTTGAGTCTGGAAGGTTGGAAGATTTGCATAGGTGGAACACAGTGGAAATGCACAGAAGTAGCATTTGGCAAGGTGCTAAGAGAAGGAAGGGAGCTCTTGTGGCATAGTGCCTAAGGCCTTTGACTGCTAACCAGAAGGCTGGTGGTTCAAACCCACCAGCCACTCCTCGGAAGGAAGGTTGGGCAATCTACTTCTGTAGTGATACTGCCTTGGAAACCCAAGGAGGGGTCGCTATGAGTTGGATCCGACTTGATGGCAGTGAGCTTGGTTTTGGAAGAAAAGGAAGCCTGATAATATGTGCATGTTTGAGCAGTGGTGAGGAGATGAGGCTGCCCCAACAGATGCTGTGCAGGGCAGCAGGGAGCCACATGATGAAAGTGGTATGCCATAATGTTCTATCCCACGCCAAGCCATGCTGGAGCCTGAGGCAAAAGGAAAGCTCTGTAATACTGATTCTGGCTTTATCTAAAATTGTGTTCATCATGGGTTTTGATTTTTAAAAATATTCCATTATTATTTGTTTTTATTATTGCATTTTTTGGCACCACCTTAAATTCTGTTCACAAGGCCAAGTGCCTCACTTTGCCACTCTAGTCCCCACCTGGTATTCTATTTCTGACGTTTGGTGGTAGGAACAGGGTATTTTATTATTAATTATAGCTTACTCATTTCTCATGTATAAATGCTTGGCTAATAGACAGTATTTAATAAAAACAATGAAGACAAAGAAGTTAGAATTTGAGGAATATTAATTTGGAATTTCTGAGCCTGAAAAGCATGAAAAGAAAAAGAATCCTTTGTGTTCCTGAGTTAACCTCTGGGAGGAATAACGGCCTGAGGTTCAGCATACGCACTGCCTGTAGGAAAGAGCTGCCTGGCCATGTCTAAGTGGGTGAAACATAATTAGGGTTCCAGAGGCTGTTCACTTGGAGCCACTCAGCTGCTGTAGCCAGATGGGACTCTGCCGCATGACCTGGAGCAAGTCTGCAACATGGTCCATACCCAATGGGACTGGCCCACATCCCATATAAAACAAACTTATCCAACCCTGCTTAAGGAGCAGCTGCTCACCGGACCACAGTGCTTACCAAAGGGCCACTGCTCCCTGTATCCAGGAGAAGAGTCGGTGTTTGATACAAAGAGTATTATTACTACATCTAAAAATGTAAAATTTGAAAAACATGAAATGTGTTGTTCATCAGAACACTGCACAATGACTAAGGAGAGATTATTTTGAGCCAGGGAAGTCGTAGAAAGCGCAGCATGAATCTCAAAGCCAAGGGGAGGGCTGAAAGCACAGGCTGCTCCCTGCGCTCATCACCAGGGCACGTCATCATTTGATGTGGACCTCCCAATTAGCAGTGATGTTCAATGAGAGCTTCTCCAGGCTCAGGGTGGAGGTTTCTGCACTATATGTAAAAGCCACAAGCTGATCTTTCCCATCTAAACAGCAAGACAGTAAAAGAGGGAAAGGTTAATGAATATTTAGGAGGAAAAAAAATCTTTTGAGTCTGAAATGTTTTCTAATCACATCATAAAGCCCTATGTCTCACTTAACAGAATCCAAATTAATAGTACTTTCACCCATGGATTTCCAATAATTTTTTAAACATGAAATACTTCATTGTTTTGAAAGCAAGAGTAGTTGAAAAACAAAACCCAAACTATAAAGAAAAAAGTGATCTGTCCCAGAAATTCAATAGGTAAGAAAGGATATAAATCCCATCCTATGTCCTTGAACAAACTCCATAAACATAGATAAGAGTCTCCAGGGCTTCAGGTATCTATAGTACAGAAAACAGAATCAAAAAAGCTTAGGTATTATTTCAAGACTCAAATAATTGCACTTAGAACATTATTTATGGCTTATAATGAGCAGAAAGACCAATTCGTGAAGAGAAGTGGGATGGCCTATGTGAGACTATTATGTTTGATTCCACCAGAAAGCACAGAGTTGGCTTGGCCTAAATACATTACATGCTAACCAGACGGCTGGCGGTTCAAACCCACCAGCCACTCCTCGGAAGGAAGGTTGGGCAATCCTACTTCCGTAGTGATACTGCCTCGGAAA